TAGAATTGTATAACAAAATTTTGAGTGCACTAAATGAAAAGCTTTTAACAAGCATTACATTTGCTGATATAAGCAAAGCATTTGATACTGTTTGGATTAAGGCTTTATTACATAAACTTGAAAAATATGGTATAAAAGGAGACTTGCTATGTTGGTTGAAAAGTTACTTGTCTAGACGATCTCAGAGAGTTGTCATAAAAGATTCATTATCAAACATTGGAAAACTTAACGCTGGTGTGCCCCAGGGGTCGGTATTAGGACCCTTGTTGTTTTTAATATACATTAATGATATAGCTGATGGTATGTCTGGATTCGGAAGGCTTTTTGCAGATGATACTTCAATAGGTCATACTGCACCTGATGAATCCACTTTAAAAAGTTCGATCAGTAGAGATCTTGATTATTTAAGTAAGTGGTCAGAAAAATGGCTAGTGAAGTTTAATCCTAATAAAACTGATATTATAATATTCAGTTTGAAAAATATATACAGTGATATTACTTTTGATTTTGGTGGTGCTACATTGAAACCAGTTAGTGCGCACAAACATCTAGGTGTCATATTTAGTAATGATTGTAAATGGAATAAGCATGTTGATAAACTGATTGAGAAAACTTCGAAGCAGCTTAATGTTTTACGCAAACTAAAATATCGATTAAAAAGGGAATATTTAGAAAAAATTTATATGATTTTTATTCGTCCGATACTTGAGTATTCATCAGAAGTTTGGGATAATTGTGGGAACATAAATTCTGATCGGATAGAAAATATTCAAATCGAGGCTGCTCGCATTGTTACTGGATTACCAAGTTATGCTAGCCGAAACGCTATTTACAGGGAGACGGGATGGGAAAAATTAAGCGTAAGGCGGGAGGTAAAAAAGTTGGCCATGTTTTATAAAATTATTAACAATCAGGCTCCAGATTATCTACATGACTTGGTTCCAGAATTTGTATCTGATATTAGTAATTACAATTTACGAAACAGACACAATATCACTATTCCAGTGAATCGTTTGTCGGTTTATCAACATTCTTATTTCCCAGCATCCATAACATTGTGGAACACTTTAGATATTATTATTAGACAGATTCCTACATTTTCATTATTTAAAAGCAAATTGCATATGTTATACTATAAGAATAAAAAATCTCCGAGACATTTTTACTCTGGAGATCGCTTACTATCTGTATTACATGCAAGGTTGCGAAACCATTGTAGCACTCTTCAATCAGATTTGTTTAATGCAAACTTAGTACAAGATGCCAATTGTTTATGTGGCTTCATCAATGAAGATGCTAAACATTATTTATTATATTGTAACAATTTTTCATCACAAAGGCTTTTAATGATAAATGAAATCAATGTTTTTGCTGTCAATATTACAATTGAGTTATTGCTCTCTGGTGATGAGTCTTTGAGTTCTGAAGAAAATTATAGTGTTTTTCTATCTGTACAAAAGTATATAAAAAGTACCAAGCGTTTTTCTCAACTTTGACAACCTTATTCTGTAACAGATCTTACTAGAACATGATCAATGTATGCTCTTAGGGGTACAATAATCGAATGATCTTTATGATTGACTTTTGTATTCTGAAACGTTTCCATGGATTTAAGTAAAAAACAAAATTGATACTTACAATTATGTGTAGAATTATTCCGTTTCCTGTTAATCCGTAACTTTAAACTATGAGTGTGTAATTTACATTTAAACAAATTTACTTACATGACTTGTCATGTACACTAACATATTTTATTTTACACAGCTCGGTGTGTTTGTATTTATTTCTACTGAAAATAGGCGCATTCGATTGGTTATATTACGTGGTAAATATCCATTGATTCGATTCTTAAAATTTGTATGTAACTTATTTTTATATCTTCATGCTAAAATAATAATTGGTTAAAGTCAGATTTATGTAATGTTCATTCATGTGTATATTTATGTATATATTGGAGAAGACGTTACTAAGTTGAAAAAACTTGTGTCTAATCCATTTGTCATTTTTGAACAATAAAATATGTTTAAACTAATGTTGTAATAAGATCTTTGAATATTGTCTACATTAGCACAAATATCGATTTCATTATCAACAAATAAAAACATAACATTTATATTCTTTTCGAATGTTTTATTTTTTGGGATGTATAAAATTAATATACATCCACGTTCGTTTTCTATATATAGAGACTGCTTTATCTATATGTTACATTATACATATTTATTATAAGGTTATAATAATGCCTGTCGATAGTTTTATTTTGGCATTGCACAAGTCATGTCTTCTTTGACTGTCCATAACGTTAAAACACTTAATCCCTGGGATGTGTTTTGGTTGATTTTAGTCTCTGATGCACCATTTTTTTTTACTAATAATTGTTTTGGCTTTGACAAATGTTTGAGTTAGCTTTCAGTAACTGCGAATACTCTCAAATCGTATTTTCGTGTTATAATTTTACTTGTTGACGCAATTTTGTTATTCAATGGTTACCTATTTTGTGTTATATCTTGTCTCACTTTTTTTAAATATGTACCACCTTTGATAATCATTAAGTATGACGATTAATTTTCATTTCTGTACTCGTACTATAAACAACAAAATTATTTATTTTGTAAAAAATATTTCCGTACTCCTAACAACAAAATTATTATTTTTAAATTTACCTGTGTACGTTATTTTATTTAACGCCATTTTCTCTAAGGTTATAGTTGTCTTTTTGACATTGTTTTTCATATCCCTTTTTTATTTGATATTATGTCATTATAGATCAAATTTATTCGTTGAGTATATGTTTACTTGTTTTTTTTTAATATGTCTTCATTTCAATGATATTTTATAGTGTGTCTTTCTATGTTGTAATGTTTAACTACAATTTCAGGTTAGGGTGAAGGTCGCCGCCTGTTAAAACGTTTAAACCCGCTGCCTTTGTTTGCACCTGTCCGAAGTCAGGAGCCTGTTGTTAGTGGTTGTCGTTTGTTGATTTGGTTCATTAGTGTTTCTCGTTTCTCGTTTTTTAAATAGATTAGACCTATAGTTTTCCTGTTTGAATTGTGTTACACTAGTCATTTTGGGGCAATTTATAGCTTGCTATTCGGTGTGAGCCAAGACTCCGTGTTGAAAACCGTACTTTGATGTGCTTTATGTCTTATTATTTGTGGTTTGAATTCTGTATTTTCGGTACATTTCACATCTGTCTTATTTGTCAGTATAGTCGAGATTATTTCAATTTTCAATGGATAAAGTATTGTCTTAGTCCAAATAATTTTGACGTCATCACAGCATAAATTTAAAATAGCCTTTCAGTACCGTCATAATCATGATAAATATTTGGACTAGTATTGTGAAAGTAATTGTTAATTTTTCGATCTCGTTCCATCTAATTGTATGAATTTCAAGATTATATATACGTCACAAAAAAGTCACTGTTTGTGGAGTCCTGTGCTGTCGTTTATGGAAGATGTTCGTTGTTATTCTGCGGTTCACATGTTAATAGTGTACTATTATATTACTTATTTATGAGTTCTCTGTGCTGGGTGTTCTTGCGTTTGTTTGTACTGTATTCCTGTCACGCAGTGTTTAGATATAAGAACATGTGGTATGGGTGCCAATGAGACAACTCTCCATCCAATTTTAACGATATTTTTTAACATTGCCATATAAGCGGGAGGTTTGGCTAGCCATAAAATCAGGTTAAGCCCACCATGTTCCTTAAAATGTCCTGTACCAAGTCAGGAATATGGCAGTTGTTATCAAATAGTACGTTTCTATGTATGTTAGCGTTTGTTTTGTTGCTCTTTAGTTTTTCTGTTGTTTCGTTGTTTTCCTTTTATAGTTGGTGTGGTTCACTCGGTTTTAGTTTGTAACCCGGATTTGTTATCTCTCAATCGATTGATCACTTTTGAACAGCGGTATACTACAGTTGCCTTTAATTTTGACCTATTATAACTGTTTACTGTTTACACATTGTATCCTGGATTGAGAGTTGTCTCATTGGCACTCATTCTACATTTTCGTATTTCTATTTGACCAATTCAAACAATTTTTTCACAAAACATAAGAATTGATAGAAGAAATAATACGTTTGATTAAAACTATTTAGGTTGCGTTATCCCAGAGAATATGTTTGATTTTGAACATTTTTGACATTTTTTATGCATATTTACAATCGGATAATTGTCATCTCTATGTGTTAGCTGTCTCTTACAAATGTAAAAATGAATTTTGGTCAGCTGTGTCGTTCGGTCCTTTTTGTGTCTATTGTCTCTTTCGGTATTAATAAACACTTACTGACTTGATATTCATGGCATAGTAAGTTTATTGTCTAAATGGATATTGACCTCGGCTACGCCTCAGGGTAAGAGTTGCACCTCAGGGACAATAAACTTACTATTTTACTCATACCAGTCAATAAGTATGAAATATTGTATGCATAACGTCTCTAGTCAGTCTAGTAAACAGAGTTTTGAAAATAAACACGTCTCTCCTTTTACACATAATTAAACCCAAAAAAATCGCAGCCGTACATGTATACAAATTACAATAATTCAAGTTTTGTTTTATGAGTTCAAGACATTTGGGCTGTTGAAAATAATAAAATAGATAAACGTCCAATTCCAATGTAAAATACAGATTACCTGTGCTGCTTTAGAGAAGAAGTTTTATTTAAAATTTTAATTATTGATACATATACTAGTACATGTTTATAAGATTCAAAGGAAAAATATTCAGTTTAATTAATACCTTTTTACAATTTTTCATGAATGCTTCACTTAATTTTTAGGTTTTTAATTGAACAATTATGAAAGGTACATGTTTTAAATATGAAGTGTTTTTCATAGAAATCATATTTGTACTTTGGTTTTTGTCTTAATGTCTTCAGATTAAAAAATCATACAGCAACGAATCAAAATTTGAAACCCTCCATCTATGTCTAGTTGAATTATCAGGATAACTATGTCTATTTTACAAAATCATATATATTGTTCCTATATTATTTGCAGGAATGTTGGAATTCCTTCATGATAAATTTGCAACATGTCTGAAGGTAAGTCTAATTTATTGTTTTTCTATGAATATTTGTCTGTTTGTTTATCAAAGGGTCTTTTTAATTACAACACTTTTAAAATGCACAGTATAACAGCCATTAGTACCAAACCTAAAAGCAATTACGGAACTATTGTAACTGCATGCTCCAGTTCAAGGTTATTATGATATATAAATTATTATTTGAATGTTTTTGTGTGCTTTCTTGATTTTACTATAGCTTATTGTCAATTATATAGAAATTTCATCAGGTTTTTATATATGTAAAAGGACAGCTTTGTTTGTCACACGTGAAAAGTTACCAATTTGATACCAGATTTACAAAATGTAACATAAATACGTCGAAAATTAGTCGTCACATTGGGACGTCACAGTACCATTTGCTTTTTTTGGACATCGTCTTTTCTGACGATTGCTTTTTAAATAGATTTTGCAAGTTGTTTTTCTATTTGAACGACGTTTGTTTATAAATACGGTGTATATTCGGAACGCTCGGTAAAGGCAGTGACCCGAAGAATATGTTCATGATGATACATTGACGGATAGAGATTGTTACAATACAAATTTCCATCATGATGTTATCTGATGAAATTCTGTAAATACTGTTACATTTGTGAATTCACATGTTTATTTAGAACTTTTTCTTATAAGTTCACCAATTAATTTTTTTACGTGACAAGAATATTTGCATTAACATTATTTGGGTCTCAAATTGAAAGAAAGGGAATCTAGAATCTGATTAAATTTTGGTAAATGACCTTTTATGAGTATTAAAGTTTGTTACGAAAAGAGAAATGGTTGTTATTGGGCAAAACATTTACCCTTTAACGTAGGAAAAAAAACCAAGGAGTTCGAACATCTCACACAAATTCCTAAACCGGACCTAATAACATCCCTAAGCGAAAAATTGGTAAACATGAAATTGATAGGATACAATCTATTTTTAATTTAAAATTGATTTTAAATTAATGTCAATTCAAGTCATTTAATATAGGAAATAAATATTCTCACTTGCACGACCTTCCTTGAAGGATTCGAACCAGGATCTCGGCTACGGAGTCAGATTTGCAACTATTCCAAAAAATCTGTTATAGACGTTACATAATACAGTTTCCCTTTTAATCGTGAAATACATACAGAAATGATACCGAGAAAGAAATTTATCTGACAATTATTTTTGAGATAAAAACGACTGTATTGCAAAAATTATTTTGAAAGGTTATCGAATAAGCCTTTTTTACAAGGATTTCAATTAGGTTCCAAAGCGTTCGGTCTGTCCTGTTTATAATAAAATATCTACGAACATGTGGATATTGATTCAATTTTTTAGCAGAAAACATGTTTATATAGTAAGGTTTTATATTTCAATGAACGTTATCTATGTATTTCTGGTGCATTATTAAGTCAGGGATTTCGTTACATGTACAACAAATTACGTAAAACCTTTACTAAATTCTTTCATATATACGAAGATTTGGTTTGTAAGTTTGGTTGTATCTGCAGAAAACTTATTTCAATTGATTGCACAACCTAATCCTTATGGATATATCGTGTACCGAGCCCGGAAATTTAAATATGATACGAGTAAACTAATCAATTCTTTAAATAATCTTTTTATAAAACGTTACAAATTCAACATTGTAATTATATCTTTAAATATGTTTTTTATTGACAATAATCATCAAATAGATAAAGTTAAAAGAAGAAGGCCCGGTAAGACCGTCCACAAAATATGGAATTTTTACAAATTTACACAGTTTTTGTCTAAAATGTAGGTGGTTGCTCTTTATTTGGCCTTTTAACATTTTTGATTCGAGCGTCACTGATGAGTCTTTTGTAGACGAAACGCGCGTCTGGCGCAAATACTAAATTTCAATCCTGGTATCTATGATGAGTTTATTTATGTTCAGTTTTAATACTTAAATACTTGTTGTATTTGATAATACATAACATATATAAAGCAGTCTATGGAAAGTGCGAATCGAGAAATTCGTTTCTTAATTATGGGGATTTGCGATATTTTCTAATATGAATTGTAATTATGCAGACACTCCATAAGGAGAAACGTGTCTTTTGCAATATACTTTTTTTAGTATTTGAATAATAAATATTATTAGTCCGAAATTAATTCACACGACACACAGAAGATTTTTATGTATTACCATTAATCAATAGAGTGTAAAATCGATTATTATCAGCCTTTTGGGATAGTTTGGGGAAAAAAGTCAAATTGACCAGTTAAAGGAGCAACAAGGTAAGATTCATTTACTAACATATAAAACTGTTAAACTGTTAATATAAAAGAAAGTCTTGCTCAATTACAAAGTATAAGCAAAAGTGTATATCCTTGTAAAACTGTACTGCTACATATATAGATACATGTATAAGAAGATGAGATATGAGTGCCAATGAGACAACTCTAAGTACGTTTTTCTTTTGTAAATAAATAATTAAATGCTATTTAATGTATTGCAGCTGCGATATTTTTAATGTAGTTGCTGTATGTTTTTATTGCAACTATACGTTTCATGTTATATGAGATAGCAATCTTAGCTACATGTAACTGCTAACTGTCAAAATGATCTTTTGAGACTTATTCGAAATTCTTAATTATTTGTCAAACATATTTGTATTTGATATAAATTATATGACTGATGTTTTTCACTTGTTCCGTTAAGTGATAGCATTTGATTTTGTCCTTTTTATGTACTTCCCCTTTCTTAATTTGCCTTGGAGTTCGATATTTTAGTCAATTGTTTATATGTGAAGAATAAAATCAAGTCATGTCGTATTGACAGACCCGAATTTCCGCTCAAATTTGTGGCATCGACATAACATCTATTGAATTTCTATATGAATACGCCCAATAAAATGCATTTCCGATATCCCTACAACATATATATTACTCATATAGATGGTATCCAAATCCTAAGCACTATTGTAAATACATGTACATTGATTGCGCACTTTTTTTTAACTTGTTTAATTTCTTAAATATCTTCATATCTTTAAATTGAAGAAAGTGTGTAGAACTGTGTTGTGGATCATATTAAACTTAGAAATGAAATCTTTTAAGTCCTAACACGTTTAATTCTAAAATACATTTAAAAGTGTTTATATTCAAGACATGTGTTTACCTAAAAATATGTTTAAATACTATCATAATTCAAAATACGAGTTTCAAGGCATGTCAAATAGATGATAGTTGGAAAATAAAACTTACTTTAAGTAATAAAAAGAAAAACGATTCCCAGTTGACGACTACAAATTTAAGTTCTTACTTTCAATATTTAGATCCATTGAATGCAGTTCTTGGCCGTTTTAATCTCCACGCACAATTCGATAAAATTGCAATAACATTAAATCAATTATAGATTTTCCAGATATAAGAGGGCGAAAAAAATGTTAGCGTAAATTTTTTATGTTACGCCTCTAGGAAGTAATGGAGGCGTGCTGTTTCCGGGAGCTTCGGCGACGTCAACATTTGTTTCTTATTTGTAATAAAGTATAATATGTTTTTAAAAAAAGGGACCACTAACGATAAGTCAATGGATATTTGGTATGTATTTATATAAGCATTGGCATATTTTATGGAGATACCAAGGCCTTGCCTCCTGAACGATTGTTCATTCACTGCGAAAGTTTTGGATTTTTAACAAAGTCAGGAATATGACACTTGATTCCATTCGTTTGATGTGTTTTAGCTCTTCATTTTGCCATTTTATAAAGGACTTTACGTTTTGATTTACCTTTTAGTTTGGTTATTTTGGTTTTTTTTAATTGTTTACAGGTAGAGTTTCTGATTAGGTCAGTTAAGAATAACCACTGATAATAGATCAACGCTATTTGGTATGCAGTTGTAACAGCATTATCATATCTTATTTCCAGGAAGATTGTTTGGCCCTGCAACTTCAGTCATGTTTCATTGACTTTGAAGGTTTTGCATATACTAAATGCATGATAAAATATTTTACTTTTACTTTCAACAACTGGATTTAACTATTAAAAATACATTTAGACATGGCAGATGATACATTGATCTGTGTCAGCACTTTATCATTATAGACTGACACAAGCCAGTTTTTTTTGTTAATTTTTGCGGAAGTTGAAAGGTGGTTAATACTGTGCAATATTAGTTTGTAAACTTCGAAATTAAAAGACTTGCAGGGGATATTGAACATAGTGTTAATATTTATAAGAGTATAATTGATTTCTTATGTATGTACATCATCTATATGAAATATCAGTGATAGTTTTTTGCCTGTACCAGCGAAGCCATCATAAATAATTGTCAATATTTCTACTTTGTTTAATGTATTTATATTAATGTATTTTTTTCATATGGAAAAGTTTTTCATAATAAAAGCATGTAGCTATTCTGTTAGGAAAATGTCGCTTTCAGCTGGCCCTTAAATAAAAATGTGTACTAGTTTAGGAAAAATGGAAGTCATACTTAACTCCAAAACATAAAAATGAACTAAAAAAAAAAAAACATACACTACTAACAAAGGCAAGAGGCTCCTGACTTGAGACAGGCGCAAAAATGTGGCGGGGTTAATAGATATAAGAAGATGTGGTATGAGTGCCAATGAGACAACTCTCCATCTAAGTCATAGTTTGTAAAAGTAAACCATTAAAGGTCAAAGTACAACATGTTTTGTGAGATCTCAACCCTCCCCCTATACCTCTAGCTAATGTAGAATACAGAAACAGAAAGTAATACGCACAGTAAAACCCAGTTCAAATGAAGTCCGAGTCCGATGTCAAAATAGGTAACAAAAGAATATAAGGAAAATGACAATGATACATAAATTAACAAAGAACTACTAGCAGTTATTGACATGCCAGCTCCAGATCTCAATTAAACATATTGAAAGATTATGTCTTCATCATACGAAAATCAAGCACAATCCCTTCCTTTAGAGGTTGAGTATCATATCATCATAAAATATACGAGAAGAACATAACCAGTATCATGAGAACAACTGGGTTTAGAATAAA